AGGTGAGGCCTCAGCTGGAGCACAGTGCCCAATGGGCACTGCAGGTCAAGCAAGCTACAAGAAACATCTCTGGAAGTGTGAGCTGAGAGGTCAGAGATGAGAATGAAATTAGGTTGGTTCAGAGTAGAAATGTGTGACAGTATCTAAACCCACCAAAAGAAACCACTGAAGAGGCATGGAATGGGTTCCATATATTCATGGGAAATTAGATGAAAATTGCACACAGCAGATTTAGATCATTCACTAACTACATCGTCTAGGAAAGATATAAAGTCCTGGTGATCAGGGTTTGAAAGGGCTACGAGATTGAAGGTATTTTTATGAAGCTAGAATACCTTAAATCTGGTTCAGCAATATCCTTAAGTGAATATATGTACATGGCCTCAGCCAGCAGCACTGGCAGAGGTCATTAGGGAAGGATAGCAGCAAACTGAGAAATCGCCATCTGCAGCCATCTGTGCTTTCAGATCATTTTCTTCTGACTTTCAGGTTACCTGTTGCAACTTTAGCAGAAAGTAGGAGTGGTCAAATGGGTAGGATGACAAAGACATCCTCCCAGATGTCCATAAGGGAAAACACCATTCAGCACCATTAGTACCTGATGCTGCCTCTCAGAAGGTGTTGAGGTGGTTATCCATGCCAGCAGAACAAACAGGAGGTGCTGACACTGGCAGAGGATGGGGAATTTAGAAGAGGAAATTAAAATGGTGGGAAGGAAATGAAGTGAATGGTGGATTGTCCCTCCATGGCTCTGCTGCTGCTCCAGTAAAATGCTTTTTCCCAAGGCTTTTTTTCCTCAGTGATTTCTTTCTTCCTAAAGCACTTCATTTAGAAAATAGACAAATTTCTTCCAGCTGCATAAATAATTTCCCATTTGTAAACCCCAAAACTCCAGGGAATTGTTCAAAAGCATCCTGTCGCTTACAAGTAGGTACATGCAGAAGCGGTAATTAGAGTAATGAGAGGAATAAAAATAATGAAGAGAAAATGCACATGGCAGAGAAAGTCTGTGAATGAAAACTGTAGGCTAAAAACATTTCTCAGATGCCAATGTGTCAGTCTCAAGCAGCAGGCACTGTAAACTTAGAGAAATGTAGAATTTCTACAATAGTTTGGATGCTCTCACAAACAGCAAGAAGTGGATTTCAAGGCAGCAATCAGGATGTTACTGAAAAAATATACCTTTATTTTTTAAATGACTCATTCTGTTTTTTCAGTTACCAGAGAACGATGTGTGTTTTAATGCATTTATCCTTTTAATGACCCACGTTCACATATTTTGCAAAATTATTTAACAGAAAAAAAAGGCAAAAAAAAAGGGAAACTGGCATGCCTACAGTGAAGAGAATGAAGAACAACATTTTCTTGAAGAATTTACTCAAATTAGGTTTGATACTACATGCCAAATAAAGAAGAAAGTTTTGTGTTAGCCTAAATTGATGAAAATTAGTGTATACTCTTTATGTGATATATGCTAAAGGTAATGCTGGTGGAAAAATACAGAAAAAAAATTTAAAAAACTCATTCTTTTAGTGCCTTTCTACCTCAAATTAGGAAAAAAAATTGAAAGCTCCTTTTTCCACCTCAGAGAATGAAAATGCTTAAAAAGATGAGGAATTTCTTATGATTGTCTAAGCACAGCACTGGAAACAAAATCCGTATGTTTCAGTGTGTCAAATATATCCAAAATATTTTGCTTAGAAAATGCATGCATGTATTACTATTTTCAATGGGCTTCATGGAAAAGAAAATGTCAATAATGGAACATTTGCTTTGTTGATCCATTTTTCACTGAGTCATTAAGGGCAGACAATAGAAGAGATGAAGGGACACGAGGCACCTTTGAACACAGTAGATAGAGTAGACTACCAAGAAATTCAACCCTTAATGTCTAGACTAAGTGGAAAAATTTGAAAAACATAAAAAATACCCCCAAATAATCCAAACAAACAACATGACTTGGAATAAAATAAAAAAAATCAGAATGAAATTAAATCAATCCCCAGGCTGTGTTGGAGATGTTTTGATGCAATTTGGTAGACCAGATTGGAGAACCACTGTCTGTTCCTGAGCCGGTTGTGGAAATCTGCCTCAACAGTGAGCTCTACTCCCAGCCCAACTTCCCATCTTTTCAAGGGGACAGATGGTCACTCCTTGTTTTAGCAGGCAGCTCTTCTACCCTTCACTAACAAATCTTAGGTGCTTTTTTCCCCTTAAGTGTGGGTCGTCACATCTTTGCCTTGGGCCTGACTTCAGTTCCCTTGGCCCTCTATAAATGTGGCAACATGCCTCTGAACAAAAAACCCCAATAATCCTGTGATTCTGATATCTGTCTTCAAATCTACGTTGTCTTTGACAAAATTAAATTTTTCAGCAAAATACTTGGCCTGTGATTTTCAGCCAGTTCAGCCAAGCAGCAGAGACACCCTGGTCTCATCAGGAACTGTGCCCTTCACTCCAGTGAGCAGACCTCACACATAGGGAAATCACACAGGGCCGGGCTCCTTAGCAAAGGCAGAAATTTGTCTCCTTCACAGAAAGAAGTGAAAAAACAAATTTGGCATTCAGGAGCCCAAAAGTTCAGGGCTGAGCTGAATTGCATTGCATGGGTTTCATTTAGACCCAGCAGGATCTGTGCAGCAAGTGATGCCTCTCCTGCTTATCCAACAAGACCTTGAAATGTACCTTCAACCTAAGTAGGTTGTTGTAATCTTCTGGGGCCTATACTAGCTTTCCACTTATGGAAACCAAGCTTTGACCTCCAGGGGATGAAATGAGGTGAACACAATTGTGCATCTGGTCACAGGTATAAGATTCAGGGCACATGAAAGAGAAAATGAGGATGAAGGCACAGCAAAAATCTGAATTTCAAGACAAAAGAGTATGTATAATTTGTTAACTGAAGAAGTAACTTCAAGAGACAGAGTTTTAAGAGCCTCAGTTTTTGTGGTTCAGCAAGCAAGGAAATGCAAGAGACTAGCATGACATATATTTCACTGCAGGTGACTTGCACCACAAAGTCCCAGCATGACCAAGGCTAAAGAGGTCAGATGTTGAGAGGTATAAACAACCATCATGTGAGATCCTCCAGTGCATCATGAGGAAAGGAGGGGAGCTGACTAATCTTACACTCATTCTTAGTGTAAAGCCCTTTATAGTATGACATTCCTCAGCAGTATCTCATACTCAGGGAACAAAGGGAAGGAGACCAGACATCTTTGGGCAACTGTTGCTCACCATTAGCTTTAGTGTTGCTCACCATTAGCTTTAGAAAGCTGCCTTCCAAAAATCAAACTTTTCTAAGTCATCTTGTTTGCTTCCTTCTGAGGTTACTCTCTTACCATCAAGGCAGTTCATCAAGAGACTGATGATAAACTTATTACCAACAAAAATAGTTCCTTTTTCTACAGCTGGAAGAAATGCAGCAATTTCGGTTCCTCAAATGAGCTGTGCTGCTGTGGCAATTCTTTGGGCCTGGCTTAGGGGTACACCATCTTAACTTCATGGGAGTTTTCTATAGCCTTAGTTAAACGCATAGATAGGACTTCGCCTTTTCTCACCAATAGTGCTACTTTTTGTAAATTGATGATGTACTTTGCAAAAGCCAAAGCTCAGATGGCAGTGTGCCATTTTTTGGTAAAAAAGGCTTAAAACACAAAGAAAATGTATATATATATAAATAAAACTATTATAAATGCAAATTCATTTACTATTTCTGTGTGAAATCCAACTCCTTTTCCATGTTTGCACTTATCAGGTGGATGATTCAGAGATAACTTTTTGTAATCAAGACAAGCAAATTCAAAAGGGCGGGCTGAAACTGGGGTGAAGAACACCATTATTTTGGATGGTGACAGCTTCATTTTTTTCACTCTCTCCTCCAGTCCTACTTTTTCACATATCCTGCTATTCCACAACAACAGGAAGAAACAAATGAGCGAAAGTGTTAATAGAGATACAGCATCCACTTGAAGAGTCATAACGCCTGGTGTTCAAGGGGATGCTGGTAGCTAGTACACTGAGAAGGCTGAAGTATGTACACTGTGTAATAATAAAAGGTGTGATGGAGGGCAGAGAAATCCTGCTACTCCATAAGGTAGGCGTGGTGGCCATGGAAATTAGAATCACTCTGTGTCAGACATGGCCTACACAACCGTGCTGTCTGTTCCACAGTAGCTATGCCGTGTCCCAGCTCCTAAGAGCTTGTCTTAACGCACCCGTGGGACTACCTGGCCCCTCTGTGGGGGAACGAGGTGCGATTTAACACTCAATTTAACATCCAAAGGGTGTTAAATGCGCAGTGCCGCGCTCTCAGAGCCTTCACGGGGGCGGGCAGAGGGCTGCCCCAGCACCAGTGCCTTAACCCTGACGCCTTCACCAAAGGCTCGCTCGGGGCAGGGTGATGAGGGGAGCAGGGTGATGCGGGGGGCAGAGCTGTGCGCTCCCTCCAGGGCGCTCCACGACACCCAGCCGGGCCCGTCGGGGCCGCATACCCCGCTCTCTGCCCCCGCACAAAGCCAACACCCCCCAACGGAGCCGGGGCCGGGCACAGGGGAGGCGGCCTATCCCCGGCGGGGCAGGAGCGGCTCCCGGAGCACCGAGGGGCTTCCCCCCGCGCCGCGGAGCGCATCCTCGCTCCCCGGTCCCGCCGCGACGCCGACAGCCGTAGCGACCGTAAACCAGCTTAGGCTCAAGGCGATTTGCCCGTAATCCGCTGGGCTTCTCGGGGCGGGAGGGGCTGCCGCGGAGCCCCCGGGGCGGCGCGGCGGGGCAGGCTCCGCTCTGAGCACCGCCGGACACGGCGGCGGCGGTGATGGGAGCGGCGCGGCAGCTGCAGGCCGGCTCCCCCGGGAGCCGGGGCTGAGCCCGGTGGCCGTGGGAGGGAGAGGAGCCGGGCGGGGAGGGAGGAGGGGGCCTCTACGGGGCAGGGGGAGAAAAGGGAGGAGCGGGGCCGGGGTGGGGGGAGGACGAGCGGCGCCGGGGAAGCGCTGCCAGCCGGAGCAGTGGCAGCGGCGCGAAGGAGGCGCAGCCCGGCGGACCCGGCTCCGCTGCCCGTCGGCGATCTCCCCGCGGAGGTTGGGGACCTGCTGCGGGGTGATGGAGGAGCATGGGTACCCTTCCTATAGTGCCCGCAGCCCCGCTTGGGAGGAGCTGGTAAGTACATGCGTGCCTTGCCGTTACACAGGCATTTCCTACCCTTTTTCCTGCCTGTATTGTTCAGCTGGGGGGTCGGGCTGTCATCCTTATCTGTGCCCTCCAGCCCCCCATTCCCTTGTTCTGACCCCGCTCCACGCCAGAGCCCGGCCGCCGGCGCTCGTCCCCTCCCCGCGGGGAGCAGAGGGGTGGGAGCCCTTCGCCCCCGCCGTGTCCGGCCATTTGCTGGCGGGCTCGTCCCTCTGGGAGACGGGGAGTTCATTGCCCTTTCTGAGTTTCACTGCCCGAGTGGAAAGCCTGGGATTAGCATCGAGAGCCTTTCCTCCAAGTTTGCCGGGGGGGCGGTGGGTTGGATGTTGATACCATTAAACGCTTTCTCTTAGCATAGCAAAAGCAATGTGTCCAAGCAGCGTTGAGAGGCAGTTTCCAGAATGACACTTTTCCCCCCTTCTTCTGTAGCCAGGCTGGAAATCGCTTCCATCGCGTCGGCAAAGTGGGCTGGGGCTGGGCTTACCCTACTGCCACCCTGCTTTGTGGGGTATGGGTAAAGTGTGTGCCTTTGGGCTGCGATGAAGGGAGGGGAGTGCCCAAACTACCCGTGAGGAAAGCTGCGGTGCGGTGGCTTTGTGGTTTGTTTAAGCAACTCCAAGACCCTCCTTCCAACCAAAGGAAATCATGTCATCGGCATCCTCAGCAGGCGATAAAATCAGATTTCCCTTTTCAGGGCAGTCTGGTCCTGGTCTTGGACTTTTCTCCATTGTGCAAACACATACACACACACACATCAGGCAGGGAAGGCTAAAAATAGGCTTTGGGTAGCTGCTCGGGAGATTTCAGGCTATCTGAGAGGTCAAGGCTAGGCTGTCTCTGGCCCTGAACTTGGTGAGGCAACATGAAGCTTGGACCCATGCCACTGCCAGACTCCCCTTCAGATAGCTTTGCCACGTTTTGCTAACTCGTTGCTTTGGTCCAGGCCCCCTGGTTTTACTTGTAAACCCACTTCTAAAGAGCAGACGGGAGAGAGCCACACTTTGTCTGGATCACTGTGTGCACTCTCAGGAAAACAGCAGCCAAGCCCTGGAGATACCAACAGTGAATTAAGTTCACTCCCTTTCTTTTTATGATTTGTAGCCCTCCCAAATACATCTGTACTATCCTCATTTTTGTTATGAAGCTGAACATCCCCCTTCACTGCCCTCTGCAGTCCTCAAGCCCCAAAACTGTTGCCAGAGATGCAGCTGTGATAGGGAAAACAGCTGTATGTGTGTTCCGGTAACATGGAGTTGACATCGAAAAGATCAGGCAAGAGAAACCCGAGATTTTTGCCTGGAGAGATGAAGACGTCGTGGGAGGAAGGCAGCGAAGCCGATTCCTGCGAACACCTTATGCTATTAAAAAGTGACATTTAAATTGCTGCCGTCATCCAAAACTCAGCTGAAACTCGGGAGGCAGATGGATTGCAGCCCCTCTCTGCCTGGAAATGCAGAGTCCTGGCTGAAACATCCAAACCCTTTTCCTTCTTTGATCAGGGCTTAGATAAACAAGGAGCACATTTTTTTTTCCTCTCCATTTCCCCCTCCCCCATTAAGGACTAGGATTTGGGTCATGTTTATCATTTCATTGCTGCATTCATTGAAGAGTACACCCACGAATGCAGTTTTAAGGTTAACCACTGCACTGATTTCCTTTACAAGACTAATTTCAGCTGATCCACTCAATCATTTGCCTGGTAACCTGCTGGTAAAATACATAGTCTTTGTGGCAAAAGCCACATTGTTCTTTGCATCTGCTCATAAGCAGGCTTTTTATGATAATGGGGGCAAAGGGAGATTTAGGTGAAGATCTACACGATGAAGGGGAAAAAATAGTACACAGACATCGCCACTGCTCTCAAAACACAGAAAAAAGAGCAGCAGGCTAGGGGAAACTATTTATTGCGGGTTTTGAACCTGTGAAAATTAATTATCTATGCAAATCATTAGATTATTGGGAATTGCTCTTCTTATAGTTTTTCTGAGAAATAAGTGATGGACATCAAATGCAGCCAAAACTCCTTTGCCTATCAGGGTTGGACTTGTCTGTGTACTAATTCAAATTCCTATAAAATTCTTTCTTTAGCTTACAACTCACTTTTTAATGGAAAACCTCTTCCTGAATCCACTAAGAGTTGCATTAGAACCCCCATGATGGAGCTAAGTAAATGTGATATAAAATGCAAGGCTCATCCTGCGTTCTTCCAAGAGAAAATTGATGGTGGTGTACTAAAAATGTGCATAATACATATCTTACAGAGCTCTAGACCCAACATTGATATTATACATGAGACCTGAGTCTTGGCTTTACCTTCCTCTTGAAATGTATTAAGTCCTAATATATTTGCAAAGCATATTTTTATTTTTATGACCGCCACTTGTTTGGGCCTTTTCATTCTGAAGCATGGTTTAGTAAAGTTTTTTAATAAAGTCTTCTCACCATTGTAACCTACAGGATTGCCTTGGCTAATCCCAAACCAACCAGAAGTGATGTAGTTGTAGGACCTTGAACAGTGGTATGGATACATTTGCTATATTTTAGCTTCCTCTTTGGTAAGTAAGGAAACCAAAAAATAGTAATATCACTAACTTGATCTGCAGAGGGAGTTCAGACAGGGAGATGTGAAATGAAGTTGTTCAGAGTGGGGAGCCCAGTTTAAAACTCTATTTATCATTAACCACCAAAATTAGGAAAGATTCAGTAAAATCTTTTAAACATGGCAAACATGGTTAAACATTGTTAACCTGACACATATACCACTACTGATCCAAATCCCCTCAGAACAACTTTTTGAGGTGAAGGATAAAAAAGTACTACCCTTCAGTTTACAGATACCGAAGTGACCTAGAGAAAAAGAGGTAAATATGCTTGTTATGAAGGGAATCAATCTTAGAGCTGAAATCAAATAATGCAGTAATCTGTATTATAAACTATAATCTCCAGTGCAGATAGAGTGCATGCGTATTTGATTTTTTTTTCTACATTGCATATGCATTTTATCAACACATATTCTATTATTGGGACTCAATGTGGTTGAGTTAAAATGTTTTCACAGTGTATATAAAATGTATCCAATATCACAAGAAAGAGAAGCTCATCAGCTGATATTAATTGCCATAGCACAAATGATGTCAGCAGAGCTGTTTTTTATCAGTAGTATCTGTTGAGCATCTTCCTTTAAATGCCAACCTTTTTTTTATGCTTTTCACCAGCCTTCCCTTGCTTTAGTTAGGAAATTTAGGTCATTACTAAGAAGTGTGAAACTGAGCATGTTAAATGAAAGACACAGTGCGTGCAGATATTGCATGTGTTTTTAACGGCTGCATACAGTCCCACATTGTTCGAGAGCCTGACTTGCAGAAGTCTAGTGGTACCATTTGTACTACAGTATTTGTAGATATGTTCACTGAGCTGATATGTGCTATTCAATTTTTGTCATATTGAGTCTGACATCGATCACCTGGGAGAAATTCAACTGTGAGATGAAGGGATAGAAGTCAAGTTGCAAGTCCTTATTGAGGTGAACTTTCATGGCTGCCTTAGGCAGCTTTACCTGGGTAAAAGCTGGAACTGGACCCTGACTATCAATTAATACTTTGAAAAGAAGAACAAGTGGAAATGGTGAGATCTTTAAAATGTTGTGCATGGACAACATAGAAAAAACTTTCTATGCTAACATGAAGGAGTAACTCCTGTACTTTCAACAATGCTTAACACTTACTTGGTTTCTCCATTTTGAAAAACTCTGTAAACATTAGATGACTGCAAATTTTAGAGCCTGTAATTTTACAGAAGCCACGATATTCTTGTCAGAAACTATATTTGCATTGAACAGCACTTGCGGGACATTTCCTATCATTTGTAGATTTAGGTTATTAGTACTAAAATTGTAACCTTAAGTAACCTAAGAGAACATCACTAGTACTTTTTTTTTTTTCATAGCACTCTGAAGTTTATCAAGATATGATGAAAGAGACTTGCTTGTAAGTGAAAGGCAGGTGCATTCTTTCCTGGTAGCCCCACTTTTTGTTTGGACAGTCAGGACTGAGGAAGATCACAACGGGGTAGCCCACGTGAGGATGAATGGCCCACCCTCTGCATGGTGCAGGAAGTGTGCAGCAGCTAGTGCTGATAATTAAGCTCTGAAGTTGAAGAATTGTATTTATTATCTAACAGTAACTAGTGTTGCTCAGCCAGCACTATTTAACTGAGTTGAATTAAACAGAGTTAGCCAGTCTTGCTGGTGTTTTGTTAGCACCAAGAGTTCCTCAAATCACAGTTACTATTACATGCAATACATGTTAGCATTAATTAGCAAACTATGTTTCATTGTCCTCTTGTGATATCCAATTGTCATTTACCTTCAAAAGAGTCAAGGAATTGCAGTGAGATGTGTTCTGGCATAATTTGCTATTCCTGAAATTAAGATGGGGAAGAGAAAGAAAGGAGGGTGGAAAGACAAAGTGTCCATAGACATTGCTCTTAACTATCTTCTTAGCTGTGCCCTAAATTAATTCGCTGAGAGCAACACATTCTTGCACTTGCTCAAGTTTGATCAATGCTTTTGAAAAAGGAGAACTCCCTCTCGGGTGAAGAGTGAGACAACACAGAATTATCCCTTAGTTTCAGAATTAGCCTGTAAGGAAAAGGAGCTATATGAGAAGTTCACATATTTTGAGATGTGGCATTAATGGTCGGATTTAGGCCTTATTATTATTCTAATAGGAAATGTAGGTGATTTCATCAAAATTCCTTTAAAATATAACTTAACAAGTACTTTGACTTTTTTAATGTTACTTTTGACAATTTTTTAAGTATAATCCAATAGAAGGGATCCTATGTGGAGAAGGGTAGTAGAATCACATTTGAAGTACCTGGTGCAGTAACACAGAACTAAGTCACAAGACCTGCAAGGCTTCATGGAAATATGTACTTTCCCCTACTCTGAATAAAAGTCCCAATAAAAGAAACTGGATACTCTGGACTATATGAAATTAAGACCATGGCAAGGTGTCTGCAGCATACAATAGATAGTACGCTGTGGGTTTGTTTCTCATTAACTGCTTTGTATTTAGGTACTCCAGTATTATATTAAGATATGTCAGTTCCCTTTCCAGAAATATAAATAGAATTGTGGGAATATATAAGCCACAAGTATTGATTGCTTTCTTATGTTTAATCCAGCCCATGCAGCTAGAAGTTGTGTGTTTTGTTTAGTATTGCTGTGATTTAAATGCTTATTTTGAACACTGACTACATACAAGCCACAATAATTTTCGAGGTCCAACAATTCAGAACATGTGGTGACATTTCGAGATTGTGCGACCTGCCAGATCTGAGATTAAAAGGGAAAACTGACCCTTTCTTTCTCCAAAAGTAAAGGCTGCTCTTTTACAAAGACAAAAATTAATAGAATAATAACAAAATTAAGCTATTAGGAGAAAACAACTGGAAAGCAATGGAGGCGTTTGCTAAAACCGTTGAACGCTTTGACGCTGACGGATAGATACCACGGGGTCTGCTGGCTGGAGGCCAGATAAGGAATCCATCGCATTACATGCCGTCCGTCCGGTCCCGAACAGACATGCTGCGCTCCCAGGGGAGAGCAGCACAGCCCTCGGCCGGGACGGGGTAGCGGCTGAGCACTCTACCCGCGCCCGCAGCCGGCCGGTTTCCCTGCCCTCGCGTTCAGAGCTCGGCTCTCGCCCCACACCGGGGGTCCCCCGGTGCCACAAGGCGCACGGCGGTGTCCGGCGGGAGGTGCTCGGTCCGGTGCCGCGTCCCACCTCCCGGCCACGCCAGCACATCCGGGGAAGCCCGGGCAGGTGCGGGGGCGCCGAGCACCCTCCCCGCTCCCTGCTTCGCTCCCGGGACTCACCCCGGCGCTCACCTGCGGGGCGGGCACCCCGTCCCCCGAGGCGGCTCGGCCGGCACCGGCACCCGGCGCCCCCTGGAGCTGGCGGCCGCCTGGGCGACTCCCCATAGGCAGGGGCGCAGGGGCTGGGCCTATCCGCCCCGGCCCCGCCCGCCGGCGGGTGGCGGCGCCCCAGTGCCTACGAGCGGGCAGAGGCGCCCGGCGTGGCCCGCGGCCCTTCCCCGCGGGCGGGGGCGGTGGAAGATGGCGGCCAGGCGGGCCGCCCCGCTCCGCTCCACCAGAGCCCGGCGCGCCCCGGCAGCCGCCGCCACCGCCTCCGTCCCCGCCCCCCCGCACCGCCTCTTTCCCCACCCTCCCGCGCCTCCTCCTCCTCCTCCCCGGGGAGGGGAGCGGCAGCGGCTGCCCTGGCTGAGCCGGGCTCGTGTGCTCTCTCTCTGTAGGAGTCCGGGAAGATGGCCGGGGCCGAGTCGGGGACGAGCGGCGCTGGGATCCCGCAGCAGCCCCAGCCTCAACCCCCGGCGGCGGCGGCGGGGCCGGCGGACGACTCGTCGGACAGCGAAGGGGAGCACGAGGGCCCCCAGAAACTCATCCGGAAAGTGTCCACCTCGGGCCAGATCCGCAGCAAGGTAAGGGGGGCAGGAGTCGCCCAGCCAAGCCGCCTTCGGGGCCGGTTTCTCCATCCCTATTCCAGAGCGGGGCTATCCCGGAGCCGGGGGCGGCCGCTGCATCCCGCCCGCATCCCCGGGAGCGGCGACGGGGGGGGTGAGGCAGCCGTGCCTCTTCCTTCCTTCCCTCTCCCCTCCTCCCCATCCAGCTGTTGCGTCCACATCTGTCCCCGGCTGGCAGGAAGAGCCCCCCGGGGCGGCGGGGCTCCGCAGGGCCGGAGGGGAAGCCGCCTGCCCCGGCGACCGGCAGCCGCCCTGCCCTGTCGGGCGTCCTGGGTGTGGGGGAAGCGGCGGGCTGCCTCCCTCCTTCCCTCCGGCTCCTCTTCCTTGGCGGCGGGCACCGCTGCCGCGGGGATCCCGCCCCGCTGCCCCTCAGCGCGGGTGGGTTGGCTTAGCGAGCCCTTCCTCACCAACTTTTCATGCCCGCAGCCACCCTTTCTTGTTCATCCCTGATGCCAAGGGCCGCCGCCGTGCGCCCCGCCAGAGCGGCAAGCACTGAGCCCGCGGGGGCATGCCGGGCTCCCGTTCGGGAGCGGGAGTGCCGCGAGGGAGGGAAACGCGGTTTCCAGTTTGAAAGGCACCTCGCGGAAAGAGGAGTAAACTTCTGTACATCCTCGCTCGTGGGACTGGATACGTAAAGCAGCTGTCAAAATTTCAGCTCAGTGCAGTTTTTTGGCTGTCTTGGACTGCCGAAGTTAATTCCCAGTGGAATTAATTTTTTTTTCGTGGATGGTATATTTATATCACTTTTTTCCTCCACTGTGAAATCAACAAGCACGCGTTCGAACGCATAAAAATAATGAGACCTGACTTACTTTCTCTGTAGAAGGATCCTGTAACTTTCTACAAAGCGTGGTCCACAGTCAGTGATAGGGTCTGCGCAAAACCCCATTGGGGAAAGCTTATGGATGCAGTCACATCAAGATCAGTTTTTTGGCTGGAAGTGTATTGTTTGAGGGGCAGAGCAACTCGATACAGGCCCAGACAGATCAAACTTACAGTTTAATTTCTACACAATAGCTCATGTGGCATTGTGTCCTTTACAGAGGACCCATTAGTTTGTGGAGTCCTGTCAGATTGGTGCTGTTCTTCCCTTGAGTTTTTGCTTCGCACTAGGTACAAAAGGCAGCCACCTTTAAACAGAAAGCTTGGTAGTTTAAACAGTAGCATTATTCCATAATGTGAGGTGGAAAGCAGTTTTCCCCTGAAACCTCCTAAACCTTTTGTGTCATTCCACATTATTGCTGAATGTTAATTTTGCTTTTGCAGATTTTAGGCCTGGCTGAAATGTTACTATAGTAGATAACGTACAACTGTTGGATTGTGTTGCAAACATAGTCCCATAGAAACTTGCAGCTTTAACATGCTTCTGTATGGCGGTTTGAAAGTGACAGAACGCAATGCCTGTATTAGCTGTAGTGGTGTTAAGTGCATTGGAAGGTTTGCTCTCAGAGAGGTTGATACTTGCATAGGGAAAACATGCAGATTATTAATGTTGTTGCCTCAGGTTTGTGAGTTCCAGATCCCAGCCAATTCTTGCCAACTGTTGCAGATTGGTGGGATATTCTGTATCTGAGGGCTGTGAATGAATGCAGTGCTGGGATCCCCTGAAGATCTAAGACACCTCTAGAAAGTGATGCTTTTGCTTATCTTAGTTTGCTTCTCAGTTCTATTTCTTTGAATCAGATATATATAGGAAAAACTGTCTGCTGACATAATTGGAGTCATAAAGTGTCATTTTACTGGTTGCAATTTACAGTGCAACTCTGAATATAAATATCTTTCTTTCCATTTAATTAAAAGTGATATATCATTGTTAAAGATGAAACCCATGTTAAATAATTCAGTAGCACTTTATTTTATAACTCACAATGCATTATTTAAAAGTAGCTATTTTTAGACAGACAACTCCCGTTTAGTTTAAGGGTGTTGTATGTTTGTTGTAGTAGTTGGTGATCAGTGGTTACATGAAACTACTAGAGCAAAGAACATCAGGGAGCTGCTTTTTTACCCAGCTAGTCCCTTTCATTCAAATTAGATTTGTTAAGCTTCACTGACTTGGTGGATCTGTTTGTAAGCTAAGGTGTTAATTAAATGGATTGCATTTATCTTACATCTAAGAATAGACTTCTGAAAAAACACAAAACATGTATATTATATTTATCATTGATGCTTCTGGGCCATTTAAGACTGTGCTATTTTTCTCCAGAGGTTGCTTATTTACTTGAGGCATTTCAGCAACATGGTGTTGGTTCCTTAGCTCAGAACTATACCCAAAAGTCTCTGCTGGTAATTGTTTTTATTTTACTTAAGGAAGATGTTATTTTTAGATGTTTTGGTACAGTTCATCATTTGTGAAAGCTACCATATGGTGATATTTTGCAGATAGAATCACTCAGGAGTGGATTTTTTTAACATGTGTATAATAAGATTGAGCAAATATATGTATGAGAGCAAATCTGCTTTAGCAGCACAAACATAAACCTAAAGATTTCTAACACCTCTAATGCTCAAAGGGAGAGAACAAGTTGTGGTGCAAAGGACTAATCTATTCTTTGGGCCAACATTTTGTTTGTCATTAGGAACTGTTTGCTCAAGCCCATACTTGGTTATAGAATGACACTGCAGCAGTAGATGTCTTTAGGGGTGTTAGGACCAAAACTGATTAGCACTTTCGTGAGGTTAAAGCCAGGGTCTTTAAACCTCATCCTGGAAGTTACATCTGTGGAGTTTGTATGTGTTCCCTGAAGGAAATGCAAGGGAATAAATAGGTAGCAGGTACCCTGTGAAGTTTGAGCCCTTTTGAGCCAAAATCTCTAATAGAGAGTGTTGAAACAATTTTTGGTTTTGTCGTGTCTACTTACCATTCCCCCCCACCCCCACCCCCCCCTCCGTCTGGGAGACCTGAATATTTAGTACATAAAAAGTGTGTTGGTTAAAAACATTTTATGAATATATATTTTGGTTTTGTGAGAACTTTGGAAAACTGCAGTCAGACAGTTTCGAAGCAGTATATATGATGATGATGTACTAAAAGGGTTATATTGGAGATTGAAGTCATGGAAAGTTCTCTGTGCGTCTGTGTTAAACTTGGCTTCTTCACTTTTAAAGATGCTGGTTAAGACAGGCAGCGTCAGTGCCTTCCTTAAACAGATGACTTCAGTTCTTGGGGCTACAGCCTGAAAGCTGCCTGTCATCAGCTGGCTTCTAATTTCCTTAAAGTTAGTCACTAATGCAAAGTACATTCCTTAAAAAGATGGCCTTGCTTCAGTTCTTTATAGCTGGAACGTGTTGAGAAGGGAAGGTTCAAATTAGAGCTGACATTTTTGCTCTTTAAATTCTGCTCACCTAGAGAATGGGCACGAGATTAGTAAATGAAGTAGTCCCTGGATACTTGGAAGCACAGTTATCAAATGAGCAGAGTTACAGTTCCTGCTCGTCTTGAGTACTCTGCTAAAAAATGAATTTGAAGAATAGCACTTTTATCACTGACCTGGCTTCCTACTTTAACGGGTCCATGTCCAGTTAATGCAAAAGCTCTGCTGGATATGTGTTGTGCTCTCAAACCTACATTGGGTATCTGGCCTGTGTCTATTTTTGTATGAAGCAGGCATTCTGGAGCAGAAAATATAGATCAGGAAATGCAAGAAAATGTGTTGTATTGAGCAAGATAAATGTACTTGTAAGGTATGTGGGAGAATGCTTTCTTCCTCTCTTTCACCCCCAGTGGTTTTTATTAGTAATGAAATTGCCACAACATGGGAGATATTCAGAAACACAAGTGTGTTACAATTAGTGGAGGTTGTGTTTCGTTATGGTGGTGTTTCGTTAAATGGCAATAGTTGTTACTAGAATTTTCTTATCTGAGGCCTTAGTATATTTTTGAGAGATCCTAGATCATTATGGAGTAATAAAAGTAAATTAATTAAATTCCCCGCTGTGATTTTATTGGCCTTAGCGGATAACACCAGCCATTTAGGAACTGAGCCTTCAAAAAGTTTCTAACCTTTTCCATATGGTGACATTTGACAGTGCCAAGTCCCGGTAGTCACTTCCTGTTTGTTTCTTGTATACATATCTCTCAGATTACCATAGCTTGTTAATTCACCTAATTGTGAAGTGCAGTGAGTGATACCAGCGTTATACTGCATGAGCATCATTCTCTGCAATGTAATCTGCTTTGCCTAGTTTTGATGGTTCCCAATCTACTCACATAAATAGTGTTTGATTCCTTTCTGCTTAAGGAAACTTGATTTTTTTTATGCACCAGAAGTTCTCAGGAAAATGCCACGGTAGCAAAAATTTACCCTAGTGGGGATCCTTTATATGAATTAGGATTGTGTGAATCTGCACAGCTTCAAAATACATTGTAATTTGTAATTTATTCTGAAAATGGAGTGATATGTGTGGTGTCACTAAACTTCGTGTTTACTCAACGTGGGACAGAACTGAAGTGACCAAGTGTAAGGCAATAAACCTCAAGTTCTTGACACCTAGTAATATTCACAGAAGAGACTGAAGGGTGCTGCAGGATATCTGTCTTCAATATTCATATTTTCCATCATTTCCATTCTGCAGATAAATTAGTTGAAGTATATCCATCCTTAGTAAAATAGTTGACCAACTTTTTTTTTTCCCCCCAACTGTTGTAAAATCTGGCAAATTTGTTTCCCCATCCTGGGGACTTTAGCCTGTTTTTAAAGTGAAATATTCAGAATCAGTTCATCAGTATATATTCCTGATACATGCAGACATGCATACTTATGCACAGGGCAATATATTTAAGTTTTCATATACATATATATATATAGTATCCAGTTCTAGAGTATCTTTGGACAAAGCAAACAAGTAAAACTAGCATGTAATGGTGTGCAATATTTGTTGCTTCTTATAATTGCTGTGTCTCTGTATAAGCTTTCAAAAAAGAGTATATTAATGGAAAATTTCAGCCGAAGACCTGA